TGATGGTCAGGGAAGCTTGGCGTACTGCAGTCCATGGGGTCGCAAAGAGTCGAACACACCTGAACAACTGAACTGAACTGAACTGAACCTGGCAATCTTGATTCCAGCTTGTGATTCATTGAGCCCGGTATTTGCATGTTGTAATATGCATATAAGGGTGACCATATACAGCCTTGACGTACCCCTTTCCCATTTTTGAACCAATCCATTGTTCCATATAATGTGTAATTGGCAACTACTCTAGAGTTTGCAGTGTCCTTTCCCTGTGAAATTTTTTCATTTTAACTGTATGTTAACATAGTGAAACTATAGGCAGGTATGTTTGTGTTTCAGAAATGTGGAAAGTGAGGCTTTGAAGTGTGTGACTTGCCAAGGATCACACTAGGAATTTATAATTTTTTTATGATAGGCAAAATTAGAGGGGGCAGCAGCAGCAGTAGCAGCAGAGGATGAAATAGATAGCATCCCCTACTCAATGGATATTATTTGAGCAAACTCCAGGAGATTGTGAAGGACAGAAGAGCCTGGCATGCTGAAGTCCATGGGATTGCAAAGAGTTGGTCATGACTTAGCAGTTGAACAACATTGACTGATAGGCCAGAAAGTGACAAATTATAACGTTAAGTGACTATGCAGTTTTGGAGTCAGAGTCATGGCCCAATAGTTATGTTTTTTGAGCAAATCACTTCTACTTTCTGGAAACAAATTTTATCATTTGTTGTATGGAGGTTGTTTTAAAATGTGAATGCAACAATATAGTAAATGTCTGAAAACATTCAATAAACAACTGCTATAATATGGTAATTATTAATATGATAACACCATCATCTTATTCTCAGGAGGTTTGATTTCAAATTTTGGGTCAATAAATAATGTTAGTTGTGTTTTCTCTGTCCTTCTGTACTAACAGTTATCATAGAACTTACCATACAGGTTGTAATTGTCTATTATTTTCCTCCCATACTAGATTGTGAGCTCCTTGAAAAAAATAGGTGTAATAGCAGTTTGCTGAAAACATTATTTATAGAGTTAATAAGAGAAGGTTGAATGCTTTGAATTCCCTAATGAAGCACTTAATATTCACATTAGGTGTTTGTGGTACTAATAATATCTAATTACTGAGATGTTATTCCTAATAGACCCAGCTTGTCTCCATAGGAAACCTGTTGTGCTTTAATGAAATATAATTTTGGAAATGACTATTATAGCTTGATAGAAAACAATTATACAGGTTTAATGCTGGAAGAATCCTTAGAGTTCATGTGTTGTACGTCTTCTGTTTTGTAGAAGAGGAAGCAAAGGCCCAAGCGGATAGGTGCTTTCACTAAGGTTATACACTGTTGTCACTTCGTGTTGACAAACAGTGAAGTGAAAGTTGCTCAGCTGTGTCTGACTTGGCAACCCCATGGACTATACAGTCTATGGAATTATTTAGGACAGAATACTGGAGTGAGTATCTTTCCTTTCTCCAGGGGATCTTCCCAACCCAGGGATAGAACTCAGGTCTCCCATATTGCAGGTGGATTCTTGATCAGCTGAACCACAAGGGAAGCCCAGGGATACTGGAGTGGGTATCCTGTCCCTTCTCCAGGGGCTCTTACCCTACCCAAGAATCAAACTGGGGTCTCCTGCATTGCAGGAGGATTCTTTACCAACTGAGCTATCAGGAAAACCTGACAAACACGGTATAGAACTTTAATTTTTAAAACAAGCAAAAGAAAAGTAGGGATGATACTTGCTAAACTCTTAGTATTGGTTCCTGAGGTGGCTGAGATTAGAGACGAAGGAGAAATTCCCTACACACTTTGGTGTTCTTTAGCTTTTTACAGTGACTATATGATAGTTTTGTAACTTAAAGTGAAGGTCGCTCGTTCGTGTCCAACTCTTTGCGACCCCATGGACCATACAGTCCATGGAATTCTCCAGGCCAGAATACTGGAGTAGGTAGCCTTTCCCCTCTCCAGGGGATCTTCTGAACCTAGGGATCGAACCCAGTTTTTCTGCATTGTAGGAAGATTCTTTACCAGCTGAGCTACAAGGAAGGCCCTTTGTAACTTAAAAACCCATAATTGGGACTTCCTTGGTGGTCCAGTGAGTAAGACTCTCTGCTTCCAATTCAGGGGGCCCGGATTCTATCCCTCATCAGGGAACTAGATCCCACATGCCACAAGTAAGATATATCACAACCAAATAAAAAAATAAATAAGTAAATAAATAAACCAACCCCAAATCCTATAATTGGAAAAATCATTTGTAAAACACCCATGAGAGATGCAAGCTGAAACAAAATATGTAGAGAATGTGAGACATGTCTCTGTCCTCATTGACCTGACTTGGAGAAACTAAGTTGTTTTAAATTAATGAATTTATTTTAATTGGAGGATAATTGCTTTTTCAGTATTGTGATAGTTTTTTTTCATACATCAACATGAATTGGCCACAGGGATACATGTGTCCCCCAATCCTGAACTCCCCTTTCTCCTTCCTCCCCACTCCATCCCTCTGGGTTGTCCCAGAGCATCAGCTTTGGGTGCCGTGCTTCATACATCATACTTGCGCTATAATGTACATGTTTCACTGTTATTCTCTCAACTCATCCCACCCTTGCCTTCTCCCACTGAGTGTAAAAGTCTGTTCTTTCCATCTGTGTCTCCTTTGCTGCCCTGCCTGTAGGAGTGTCTAAATTCCATCAGTTCAGTTCAGTTCAGTTGCTCAGTTGTGTCTGACTCTTTGTGACCCCATGGACTGCAGCACGCCAGTCTTCTCTGTGTATCACCAACTCCCAGAGCTTGCTCAGACTTCATGTCCATCGAGTCAGTGATGCCATCCAACCATCTCATCCTCTGTTTTCCCCTTCTCCTCCTGCCTTCAATCTTTCCCAGCATCAGGGTCTTTTCCAATGACTCAGTTCTTCGCATCAGGTGACCAAAGTATTGGAGCTTCAGCTTCCACATCAGTCCGTTCAGTGAATACTCAGGACTGATTTCCTTTAGGATGGACTAGTCGGATCTCCTTGCAGTCCAAGGGACTCTCAAGAGTCTTCTCCAACACCACGGTTCAAAAGCATCAATTCTTTGACGCTAAGGTTTCTTTATAGTCCAACTCTTACATCCACACATGGTTACTGGAAAAAACCATTCCATATACATGCATTAATATACAGTATTTGTTTTTCTCTTTCTGACTCACTTCAGTCTGTATAATAGGCACCAATTTCATCCACCTCATTAGAACTGACTCAAATGCATTCCTTTTTACAGCTGAGGAATATTCCATTGTGCATTTGTACCACAACTCCTTTATCCACTGTCTGCTGATGGACTTCTGTGTTACTTCCATGTCCTAGCTATTGTGAACAGTGCTGCAGTGAACATTGGGGTACATTTGTCTCCTTCAATTCTGGTTTCCCCAGGGCGTATGCCCAGCAGTGGGATTGCTGGGTTGTGTGGCAGTTCTATTCTTAGTTTTTAAAGGAATCTCCACACTGTCTTCTGTAGTTATAAATAATTTAAGGCAAAATTAGAAATAATACAATGAAGTGGCTGATTAATATTTAATTTGTATAGACAGTGTTTGTTCCAAGTTTGTTCAAAGTTTGTTCAAACTCAAACTGTCTTTGAGTTCAAAGATAGTTCATAGCAATGTATAGGAATCATATTAAAATTATGAGTATTAGGTTATAATTATCTCTATTTTCATTGATTATATTTTGCTCACTGCTACAATAGTGTGTTTGGAAGGTTTTCCTCAAAGCTTACTGACTTTGTTATATCTTTGTTTATATATTTGATCATTTTTACATGACTTCTGGAAGGTATCCTCAAATATTTACAGGAAGTAAAATTTTTTTTTGTTTTACCACTTACTAAGCTCATATTTGCATAGGACCACTCTCTTGTCTTGTTTATGGAAGGAAAAACCGTGCCATTGGAAAAGTAAACCTTTGGAAAACAAGGATCAGGTTTAGTATTGACTGCTCAGCTGCCATTATTTTGAAATTTAAAAAATCTTATATTTAGTTTGTTTATATTCTTTACTCCTTTTGTAAAATGCTCCATAGCATATTTTTAATGTTTGGAAAACTGTAATAAAAACTACTCTATTCTAGTAAGTGTGGGTATACATTGTTGGCAGAGAGAGGTGCACTGTAGATAGATCACATTTGCTTCTTGAGTACAAGAGGTATGTAATAGCCATATGAGTTTAAGTAAATTAACTTTTCTGGAGTTTATGTTTCCTAACAATAAAGAAAAAATAATGATATCATAACAAATATAAAGAAATGTTAGGTTTAACTGAATTTTATAGTTGATGAAAACCCTTTACAAATAAAGTGATAGTGTTAATTGGATTCCTAAAACTTCCTCAGCATCAGGAGGCACAGAATAAGTAGTTAATAATAGATTATATGCTGGATAGTATCTTCACTAGTATAATAGCATTTTTTAGTAATGAGTTTCATATGACTTTTTTTTTTTCAAACTGAAGATATAGTATTGATAGTCCACTCAGTGAACATGACTGTTGAGGGCCAGGTGATTGATTGTATTAATCTGGCTTGATGCAAAGAGAGAGTACAGTGTTTTATTCTAATTTTTTTCTAAGTTTTCTTTTATTTTAATTATATTAGTTGATCTTGATCAATATGTTTGGAATAACTCTAAGGCAAACAATCTCTAATTTTTACCTAGAAATTAGTTCATGTTTCAGTACTGTATTTTGTTTCAGTTAACAATTTGTGGCTATTTTTATCACAGTTTCTGTTCATTGGTAATCTTTCAGAAGCAGAAATAGAGATCTGGGAATTTAAATAATTTATTTCTGTGTGATTTTATTATGTATCTTGATGGATTCTTATTTGTGATGTTTCTCTAAAAAAAGTTATTTGTAAGTATAGAGCTAGACAGATTGTATAGTTACTATTAAAAGGCTTTTGCTCACTGGGCTTCTATATATTCTTGATACCTCATTTCTTCTTTTTTTCCCCCCAATATTTTCAGATGTTTTGGAATGTTATTAAGCCCAGGTCGAAACGTGAAGAACAGTGACATGCATTTACTGGATATGGTAATGAAACTTTAGCACCTTAACCAAGTATAGTAGATAGTTATTTTATGTTTTTAAAGTATTTTCTATTTTGAAATCTTGTCATTTTGTCAAAATTACGTCTAACTTTCAGCCGTGTGATAGTAGTCATTTAATTTGGAACCCCATACTTAAAATTTCTAATGAGCGAGAAACTTAGGAGTTAAAAAACTTTTGTAGAAAGAATCATATGCACGTTGAAAGCAGATAAAAGGATAGTGTTATGAAAAAGTCCATCTACTCATCTGTTTGACTTCTTAGGAAAATATCCTTTCTTTGAGCCAAACATAACAAGTACATGATTATAACAGGCGTATCCAGAGTGGATATGGTTCCTTTCATTTATTTTAATGCAATGGTATTGATGTTAATTTGAGTACTGTGATGGATGCGTTTGTTTTCTTTAAAGCATTTCCCTTTCTGAGTTTTTGCTTCTTGATTACCTTTCATTAGCAAAGTATATTTACTGTGGGAGTGGTATTCATTTAATGAATGCCCTTGAAGGTTAATATATATTTAAGAGTTGGTATTTGATGTAAAAATGGCAAGCCATCTTAACTTTTAAACAGAAATGCCTGTTAATAGTGCAGTTAATGAAAACATCGTTTATGGTTTAGAAATGTTATAAGAAATAGTTATTTTAGTATAAATATAAAGTTCTTAAATGAGATTTTTCTTTTAGGTAGCACTACATGTTCTCCTTTCAGCTGTATTTTGCAAATGTCATTTAAATATCACAAATTATATCATCTTTTTCTTTATTTCATGATAATACCATAGTGATTTTTTTACTATTAGGATGGTTTATTCAGCATTTTTGAGTACCTAATTGTATGCCAAGTATTGTGTGGAGTGCTGGCATTATAGATATGGTAATAAAGTTCTAACATCTTTGGGTTCATAGTCTTGTGATGGAAACAGATTTTTACATCTGTAATGATATCATTGGGTTAAATGCTCTCATAGAGTCAGTGCAGTGAGCCACATAAATAGCGAGGAAGCATTGCTTGGGTAGGTAAGGTAAGGACAACCAATTACATTAAATGTGAAAGCAAATAAGCTATTGGTTCATCTCTCTTCCATCCATTTTTACAGCATATCAGTAATGCAGGTGGTTTTGCTTAAGGCAAGAGATAGCATTTTGGAGCCCTGAAAATTCTGTGAGGAGGGAGTTTCAAGGACATTAAATACTTATCAGCTCCTAGATCCTAATTGGTAATGATCTTGCAGAGTTTAAAAGATTAAGATGAATCACTGGCGGAGATTTAGAGACCTGGCGTGAGCTTCTGATCCCCCTTCACTTGTAGTGCATCCCTCCACCTTGAAGAATTCATACTGAAATCAAAGGCTTGTCAGCACTGAAGCTCCTGGAGGGAGCAGTGGGCTTACCAGTACAACAAATAGTTGATCAAGTTGGAGAGCTTGTATGTACAATTATCAGCAGTTGTGATTTGTTGTTACCCAGTGCTATTAATCTTCATGATATCTTAACACACAGTTATTGAGCTTTAACCAGACTACATCTAATAAAAAGGAACTCATTACCTTATAATGAAGACTATGGGACAGTTGTGGTTATTACAGGTTATACCTTTGTAATCACCTGAGATCATATTCCTTGTAACTTTGCCTAATGTGTCTTAGTTCTGCCCTCTAGAGCAAGATATTAATACTTCTATGACATATGCACATACGTGAACTCTTTGAAAACAGATTTCCCCTTGCACTTTATTCTGACAAACTTTGAAAAAGGGTACAACTGAACGTCAGAATTTTTTTTTTTTAACATCAGAATTTATGAGGCTTTTCTATTTGAGTTGAATAATTTTTGAGCAGTGCCTACTTTGTTCCCTGAATGCTAAATAAGCAGTATGAGCTGAGACTTCTCTATACATTTATAAATTTTGTTTAATATAAAATATACATAAAAAAGCTCTATTTATAAACAAAATATATTTTTAGTCAGCTGAATTACTTATATATATTATACATAGTAGATAAAATCACATATAAATAAAATTAATTAAGTTCTTTGGGGGGGGTGCAGATAATGGACTCTGAATTTTTTCCCAGTAGTGAGAAAGGTTTTGAAGATACTTGTAGTGTAGGAATAAGGAAATAAGAATTTTTGATTTACAGCCATTGATACCTAGGAAATGCTGAACAGGAAAGTACCAAAAAGAGGTGAAAACTCAGTAGACTCAGATTTCGTGCAACTGGAACACAACTTAGAATCCTAGAGGTACCTCAGAAAGTTTGTGAAAGAAAGTGAAAGAAAGTGACGTCCCTCAGTCGAGTCTGACTCTGTGTGACCCCATGGACTGTAGCCTACCACGCTCCTCTGTCCATGGGATTTTTCCAGGCAAGAGTACTGGAGTGGGTTGCCATTTCCTTCTCTAGGGCATTGTCCTGACCCAGGGATTGAACCCTGTTCTCCTGCATTGTAGGCAGATGCTTTTACCCTCTGAGCCACCAGGGAAGTCCAGAAAGTTTGTGAATCTTCATAATTAACTATTTATTAGGCCAGTAGTTGGACTCACAGAAATAAAATTTACATTGTAATCTAGTACACTTATAAATGGTAAAAAAAAAAAAGCTGAAGTAAAATTTTTATGAAATAATTCTTAAATTATGAAATTTAAGAAATAGTGAAATTTATGAAATAATTCATGTTTGATGAAATCTGTTATTTTTTTCTTCTACTTGATTAAAAAGTCTGATCATAATCCACTAAATTGATTTTATGATCCACAGATGGGTCACAAACTGCTGTTTGGAAATCATTAGCCTGTTAACTCCATTAAGTCAGGACCATTCTCCCTTGTTTTCTTTGCTGGACACTCACGGGCATAGAGTGTGACTCATAGTAGTCTCATATTTGCTTAAGGAATGAATGGATTAGCGAGAACTTATGTTCTTTCTTTCTTCGTGTGTTACCTCCTCCTCCTAATAACATCCATGTGCTTTACCCTGCTGTCTCTATTTGACCTCACAGCTTCAGGTACCTCATAACCTGACAGTAGTTCATTCGTGGCTTTGTATGTGATTCTTCAGCTTATGTTCCATTGCAGAGTGCCATATTCTGTTTCTGTTTCCTGGTTTATTTTCTTAAGAGGAGGGCATCTGGTGGTTCCAGGCTGGCCTCTTTGGGGCAGAGGTGTTTGTTGTCCAGATGTCCTTTCCCTGATGTCCCTGATCTTGTCAGCCTTCTTGGGGGAGGGAAGGTCTGCGGAGGAGCTGGGAAAGAACTCTAGAGCAAAGATTGTGAAAGTCTCTTCACAAGGGGATGGGAGCAAGCCAGGCTATGTAATAGAAATATCTAGTACAATAACAGAAATGACTCGAGGGGAAACTTTTATTGAAGGCTTTTAATGTATGAGACACGTATTTTTGTGGTTGTGAAGACTAAAAAGAAATAAAAATATGTTTGATTTGGTTAGGCTGTTTTGCTTACAGGGAACAAAGGTTCACTTAGAGCACCTGAAGAACAAAAGAGGTTATTGACCTTGATGAAATTGTACCTGAACCTGAAGAATGGTCTCTGATTTCTTCGGTCTGCCTCCCCTCTCCGCACGGGCTTGCTCTTTCAGTGAGCCCCTTTCCTAGGAGCTGCCCCCGTTGTCGCAGCTCTGGTGCTCTGCCCCCTTTTCTCTTTCTGCACCTTCTTCTCTCTCTCTCTCGTTTGCTCCCTTCATTGCCCACCTCGTTCCTTTTTTCCCTCTCCTGCCCTTTTCCCTCCTTGCCCTTTCTCTCTCTGCCCTTCTCTCTAGGTTCCCCACTCTCTGCTCCTTCAACTCACCTCCTTTGTATGTGCCTTTGTTTTTTGACTACATGGTTCATATTTTTAAGGATTTTTGTGTGTGTTTGTTTTCCCCATTTCTTGCTTAACACTTAGCAGTTTCCTAATACTCTGCTGTTCTTTATGTATTTTCCCCTACCTTAAATTCAGTTATTACTTCATTTTGCCTGTGGTCTGTCATTTTCATATCAAAACCTTTCAGCTCCACTGCTGACTGCCCACTTTCCTTGGTATTTGTTAATTGAAAGAGAGAATTTGATTGGTCTAGCTCATTTTTTGGACTCAAGCATAGCATACGCTTTTGTCCAGAAATGAACGAGATATTTTGGGGTCAGGTGCTCATTCTTGCTCTGAATGGGGGTCTAATTAGACAGTAGAGAGAGAAGATAGGCACATGGAAGGGAGGGAGGGAGACAGGGAAAGAGAATGAATATGAATATATAAGTGTGTTGGAGGTACTGAGTGGATTTCCTTTACATGGTCTTGAGTGTTTTTCCACTCTGCTTTACAGTCTGATCAGTGAATTATCACCAGTACAGTAGAAAAATGTACATAGTAATTACCAAATGACTGAAATAGTTTCATAAGGATTCAGAGAAGCATCTGTGTGTGGGAAATACTGGAAAAAAAAAAGTTTTTGTCTTTTAGCCTGACATTTTTAGTGCTCTCCATTCATATGAGGAAATTGGTATAGAAAATTAAAAGTATTGTAGATAATAATACTCTTTTGCAAATGCTTGTATTTGTATACTGTGTGGTTTTCTCCCATGGGACAACCTCTAAGCTCCCCCACACCGCATACACACATACATATACATAACTGAATGTGGCCTTGCTTTAACTATAGAAGTTTCTGCTTTAATGAGAGTCAAGAGCTGGCTTGGTAAAAGTCTTAAGGAGTGGAGGAAGTGAAGAGCAAGAAGAGAAGAGGAGGAGAGAATGGAAGAAGGAGAATAAATATAAGGGTAGAGGAAGATAGTTAACAACCTTGGGTATAGATTACAAACCAGTATTAGTCTCCTAATATTGATTTATGATTGTAAGAAAGTGTCCATATGTCTGGCATATAGACAATAGGAAAGTATTAACTTTAAAGGTGTTAATTGTGACAAAGGAAATTATTTTAAGAATATATTAAAAATTAGAACATTAGAATAAAAATTTTAATGTTTTCCTGTGATTAGCTTAATTCTCACTTCATATATCCTTGTATGTCTGGGTATGTGAGATTTTGATAACCAGCCTAAGATAAAGTTAAATATAACTTCATACCAATACTGTTTTTGTGAGTCAGCATCGGAGGACATACCTTTTATCTTAGAGTTTGTGTCTCTAAATAGAAATGCTGGAGAAAGCTGCAGGAGAATTTAATATTTAAAGAAATGCTTCTGTAGAGTGAAAAAAATTTACCAAGAAAATAAATGCCCTGAGTATAAATTCAAATTTAATTAATTGGATTGCTTAAAGTAAGATATAAGTTAAAATGATGATTTTTGGGGTGTAAATATTCTCAGTGATTTCTGTTTGAAATGTCATAGGAATCCATGGGAAAGAGCTGTGATGGGAGAGCTTATGTTATCACTGGCATATGGAACCCCAATGCACCAACATTTCTGGCACTTAATGAAGAAACCCCAAAAGGTGACTTTTCCTAAAAGATTATTCAGTATTTATTATAAAATTTGCATTATGGACAATATTGTTTTGCCATGTTTAAAAAATATTTTGGTACTTATTTTAAATGGAGTTATTCTTTTCATACTTTATGTGTCAATGGGGATAACCTCCTATAACTATTCAGAAGAAAGACCTCCAAGAATATGTGGATTAATTTTATTACATTCTTTAGGAAAGTATTTGGGCTTACTGTTTCATGTATCATAATAGAGTTGTTTTATTTGTAGGGGAAAAGACAGACTATGAAAGAAATGAAAGAAAATTCTGGAATTTTTACATATATTTGATAATCTATTTTAACTTTTTTTGTTTATATTACAGATTACTTATATATATATATTTTTATTTACTAATTGTTTGTTCCAGCCTTTTGACCTTTGGGAATTTAGTAATGTATATTTAAGATTTCATTTGTGGCAAATATTTTTTTAAAGTTTTTAATTTTTTCATTTTGTTTACTATATATAGTATTGAACAGAATTTATAGATGATAAATAGGCTCATTTTTCATTTTTCCCATTGTTTTTACTCCTACTTTATCTAGATATCTGTTCATTGCCCATGTGGCTTTTTGTTGTTTTCTTGTCTACTGTCTGCCTTTAAACTAAAATTTAGTTTCACCTCATGGAGTTATAGTGAAAGTTGTTCAGTTGTGTCTGACTCTTTGAGACCCCATGGACTACACTGTCCGTGGAATTCTCCAGGCCAGAATACTGGAGTGGTAGCCATTCCTTTCTCCAGGGGATCTTCCCAACCCAGGGATTGAACCCAGGTCTCCTGCTTTGCAGGAAGATTCTTTACCAGCTGAGCCAGCAGGGAAGCCCAAGAATACTGGAATGGGTAGCTTAACCTTCTCCAGAGGATCTTCCCGACCCAGGAGTCGAACCAGGGTCTCCTGCATTGCAGGTGGATTCTTCATCAACTGAGCTACCAGGGAAGCCCCTCATGAGTTATAATCTTCTACTAAATGCTTTACTATGATTCAACACAATAATTTATCTTGAGAAAATATGGATCAGTTTGCTTGATTCTTAGTTTTATATTATTTACTTTATATCCACAATAGACTTTTGGTTAAAGACAGGAGCATTAGTGAATATGGATATGGAAAGATATTAATGAAGAACAGTAAATGATAATTATTCTCAGGAGTATTTACCACTTCCATAAATTGCATGCATTTGATCACACATCAAGCTGTTTCAAAATGAGGGCTAAAAAGAGAAAGATAATGATGATTATATAAAATTTAGGTTTTCATATATAGGAATAAATAATCTTTACACCCACAGTTTGTTATTTCTGGATACAGACTTGTGAATACCAGTCTATAAACTTCTTCCTTTTAATCATTCAGAAAATCAACATGAAAATGAAGAAAAATAAATCAGCTGATAATTTTGAAGAATAAAATACAGACATTTCAAACAATAACTTATAAAAGCAGTTTTTATATGTTTTTACTATAACATAGTTCAGTTTCATTTTGTAGTTTAACACCTATTTGATTGTCAATTAAAAATAATATATTTAAAAATTTATTTATTCAGTTAAACTATATAATTGTATATCAACATGACATCCTGATACAATGTTGAGAGAATCCCAGTTTTTCTTGACTTGGCAGATTGAGTGCTTGCATTTAGTACAAATGCAATACATCTTTTATTGAGTTTAATTATATTAATAGAAGTATAGTTGATGATTTTAAATGTTGTATAATGGTTAAAAAGAAACTATTGAAGATTTCTTCTAATGGTAAGCTTGGTTATTTGAACTTTCCTTTTAACTGAGAACTGAAAATTGCAGACGAAATAAATTTTTAAATTTTAAAAGTAATTTAAAAATAATACAGTTATTGGAATAATGAAACCACAGATTCCAAAAGCCCAATGAATTTCAAAAGGGTAAATCAAGTCCATATCAACCTATCATCAGTTCAGTTCAGTGGCTCAGTTGTATCCAACTCTTAGCGACCCCATGGACTGCAGCATGTCAGGCTTCCCTGTCCATCACCAACTCCCAGCTGTCCACCATCAACCTATCATAGTGAAACTAAAGATAACCAATAGACACTGGCCTAGAAGATTCTAGATTAAAATTTAAAGGAGGCTGTAGCAAGTAAGCATTTTAAATGGTAGCTGAAATGCTCACTTATAACAGTATACTGTTGTCTAAAAAAGCACTTGCCAGGGCTTTGATATATATTATATATATATTTATAGTACGTGCTCAGGCACAAAGTTGTGTCCAACTGTTTGTGACCCTGTGAACTGTAGCCTGCCAGACTCCTCTGTCCATCTGCCTGCAATGCCAGACACCTGAGTCCAATTCCTGGGTTGGGAAGATCCCCTGGAGAAGTGGAAGGCTACCCACTCCAGTATTCTGGCCTGAAGAATTCCATGGACTGTATAGTTCATGGGTTCGCAAAGAGTTGGACATGACTGAGAGACTTTCACCATAGAGTATATATTTGAAAATTACATATATTTGTAGTGTATATGTACTATAAATAGTATATGTATATTTGTAATATATTTATATTTATAGTATGTATAAATATACTGTGTGTATACATGGAGTATTTACAGAGAGAATATTTTATACATTATGTATGCCGAGAGTATGAAAATTACACAGAGCTATTTCACTAGAGCTTTGGTCAGTGATTTTCCTGAGGATTAATATTTATTTTGGAAATTGTGGGTACTAAGAAATCCTCAGAGACTTCCCTTAAAGCATGCAACATTGAGAGAATCATTTTAATAAAAATTTTCCAAGCAAATTGAACAAAACGAAGGTTGAGTGTCTCTTCTGATTTGACATTCCTTCCCATGCAACTCATCAAACAAACCTAATAATTTCTAGTATCTTTTTTTAATAGAATGAAAGGGCAAGTTTTTGTGATTTTCTATTTCTAGTGTTTTTTGTTGTTGTTGTTGTTTTGTGAGGGGCAACCTGAAAGATAGTTTTAGTGTAAAAGACATTTGAAATTTTTATATTTTTTATTGAGGGCCTGATTTTGGGAAGGAAAAATTAAAATTGTCAGAAAAGATTTAGTCTTTTCATAAGGTGGGACTAGGAGAATTGAGAAATGTACTTGGGAAACGATTACTTTGTCAATCTCTGTGTCAGTAAAACACTTAAACATAGAGGGTAACATGAGTATAAAGAACCTAAGTTCTTTAACTTTGTTTTCTCAGTCAAGTAGTAATAAAGTTAGCATAAAACACAGAACATTTCTACTGCAGATAAACGAGTATACATGACCGTGGCAGTGGATATGGTAGTCACAGAAGTGGTGGAGCCAGTCCGCTTTCTCCTGGAGACAGTAGTACGTGTGTACCCTGCAAATGAGCGATTTTGGTATTTCAGCAGAAAAACTTTCACGGAGACTTTCTTCATGAGGTTGAAACAGGTAGGATCTTTTTGTTCTTTTCATATATTGTTTTCTACTATTTTTTCTTTAATGCCAGTGTAATTCCTTAAATAGCAATAAAAAGCAATAAAATTCTTCAGATAATCAAATGATATTTAGAGTTAACAATGGAGTATTTGTAAAATGCATAAGTAAGATTCAGTTCAGTCGCTCTGTCACGTGCAACTCTTTGTGACCCCGTGGACTGCAGTACGCCAGGCCTTCCTGTCCACCACCAACTCCCAGATCTTTTTCAGATTCATGTCCATCCAGTTGGTGCTGCCATCCAACCATTTCATCCTCTGCTGTCCCCTTCTCCTGCTGCCTTCAGTCTTTCCCAGCATCAGGGTCTTTTACAGTGAGTCAGTTCTTTGCATCAGGTGGCCAAAATATTGGAACTTCAGCTTCAGCATCAGTCCTTCCAGTGAATATGTAAGATTAGTGTCAGTTGAAAAAAACAGCTAGTAAAATTAAATAGAAATTTGTTTTAGAAACCTGTAATGGTACCTGTAAAGTATCAACATACTTAATAGAAATATTAAATCTGCATCAAAAACTTTTCTGTTATATATGATTATATGAAACCAAAAAGAAAGAGCACAGAAATATATCTTTAGAAAGTAATAGTGAGAAAGTTTCTAAGTAATAACTGATTGTTATAGTTCCTTTTACCTATATAATATATGAATGTGTAGTTTGACTTATCAGTAAGGTTATACAATTATTTTAATATTAGATGAACAAAATTAGGGTTTCTCTGAAATTCTTAAGTTCTTAAGCAGTGTTAGTATGTAAAACACCCTTTTTGTAAATGAAAGAAGAAGGTTACTGTGGAAAATAATTTGAATTCTAGCAGTATCCATTGTATGAAATCAGAATGAAATATTCTGTTTGAGTGATAAGAATTCCTTATATCCTGCTTAGTGCTCCCTCTCTCCCAAATTTAAAAATGCTTGTTGCTTCATATACTGTAATATGTAAAAAGTAATGTAAAAGCAAGCATCAGTGCAGTAAACAAATACAGAAACCACTTAACCATTTTCATATTACGAAAACTTATCATTGCTCAGTTTGGCTTCATATGCTATACATATACATCTAATTATGTAAATATATAAATTCCAGTACTCTTGTTTATCTTGCAAGACTACTGGAATTTATATTTACATAAATGTAAAGAATATATGAGTGGATTTTATGACTGTTATTTTTATATTTTTTAAAATTGCTGATATTGAGTTACTGAGTGGTAAGTACCATAAGATTTCTTAGTAATAAGAAAAATACTATTTGAGGAAAAAGAAAACTATTTGACATCATTTCATGTGAATTAAAAAGATTAAATTAGACTCATTTGTAGTACTCAGCTCCATTAAATGTGAAACTGATTTAAATTAATGTAAAATAAGAAGATGGTTTCTAACTGTGTACTCAGTCGCTCAGTTGTGTCTTATTTTTCGAGACCACATGGACTGTAACCCGCCAGGCTTCTCTGTCTGTGGCATTTCCCAGACAAGAATACTGGAATGGGTTGCCATTTCCTACTCCAGGGGATCCTCCCAACCCAGGGATAGAATCCATGTCTCTTACATTGGGAGGCAGAGTCTCTACTACTGCACTACTTGGGAAGCCCTTCTAACTTTGAAAAGTGAAAGAAAGTGAAAGCGTTAGTTGCTCAGTCGTTGTCTCTTTGCGACTCCATGGAGTGTAGACCCCCAGGCTTCTCTGTCCATGGAATTCTCCAGGCAAGAATACTACAGTGGGTTGTCATGCACTTTTCCAGGGGATCTTCCCGACCCAGGGATCGAACCCAGGTCTCCTGAGTTGCAGGCAGATTCTGACTTTAGTGGTATAATTTAATTTCTTTAGTAGATGATATGTTACTTTATTATTATTTTTATCTCCTCGAGTCATTTTTTGGTGATCCTCTTCTTTCAAGGAATCTTCAGTTTAATCAAGGATATTTAATTTATTGCTTAAAATATTCCCTTTTTATTTTTAATGTTTTTAGAATCTCTATGATCTGCTTTTATTTCTGATACTGGTAATTTATATATTCTCCCTTGTGTTTTTTTAATCAGCCTAGCTTGAAGTATATTGGTTTTATTGATTTTCATTCTTCCCCATAGAACCAAGTTTGGAACACATTCATTTCTCTATTGTTTTTCTGTTTTATCTTCTGTTGGTTCCTTTTGTTTTCTTTTTTATTTCCTTTTTTTGTCCTTTGGATTTAACTTGTTTGTCTAGTTGCTACATGTGAAGATTTTAAAAAACATTTTTTTTACTAATATATTTTTTCCCTAAAATCTTTTAATTTTTAAGATTATAATTTTCCTCTAACTTCTGCTTTAGCTGTACCCATAAAAACTTGATCTTTTGAGCACTCATAAATTTGAAATGTATATTCTGATTTCCCATGTTATTTCTTTTGTGACATGTGAGTTCTTCAGAAATATGTTGCTTAATTTCCAGATATATACAAAATTTTTACATAACTTTCTTAATCTGATTTTTAATTTCATTTTGAACAGAGAACATACTCTGAAATTTGAATCTTTTTAAGTTGTTGAGAGTTACTTACCCAAGACATGGCCTATTTTGGTGAATGTTCCAAGAGTAATTGTAAGGAATATGTATTCTGCATTTGTTGGGTGGAATATTCTATAAATGTCAACTGTGTTAAGTTCTATGATGAGGTTTTTCTGTGTTTTCTATTCAGTATTCTGTATATTCAAGGAGATCTCTCCGTTCTTGTTGGAAAGAACAATAGCAACTTTTCTGACTGTTACTGTGAGCAATAGTAATGATAACAGACATCATTTAAAGAGAGTCCTACATGGTGCACCTCCTCAGTACAGCTCTGTTGAGGTGTAGTGTGGTGTTAGTCGCTCAATTGTGTCCAACTCTTTGTGACCCCATGGACTGTAGCCCGCCACCATTGAGGTGTAAGTAGCTTTATTAACCCCATTTTTTAGATAAACTTTTAGGCACAGTAGGGTTGTTATTAGGTGATAGATCAGGAATTAAGCCTAAGCAGTTTGCCCTAAAACTTGTCCTTGTGAAATGTCTATGAGAAATGGAAAATATGCTAGCTGTAACACTAAAACTAGTATTTTTTTCCTGAAAAATTTTCTATATGAGCACTGATCATTTTTGTTGTATTTCACTTAACTTGTCTTTCTTTGTATCATCTTTGTTGACATCACTGATTACATTAGGTATATAGTATATGAAGACTTTATGAGAAAATGTAAGGATTTGTAACATTGGAAACCTTGGAAGTGCAGCGACTGATTCCTTTTCTAAGAAAACGGGCTGTTCGCTGCTGAAACTTTGTTTTGTATGATGCTGATCTGAGAAGAGCACTCTGCTTACATGGAGTCACTTGAAAATGGCTTGCCAAAAAGATCCTTTGCTCTAAAAGCCTTTTTATTGTTAATGAACATCCCATATTTTACTATTGGATGCTTATTCCACTGTCTTAAAGCTTTGCTGCATGTTACCAGGAAATAGACCTTAATAACTTTTAACAGTCTTATTGACCTCATTGTTAATGAGTTTAATAAGATGCTCTCCTTCAGCTAGGTTTTAGTAGGGGTCAAGATCCAGAAATCATGAGGGCATTCATGCTTGATATGAAGTGTTACTAAACTGAGAGGGTCAAAGGCCTGTATCATAATAAGTAAAATTAGTTTGCTGAGATACCACTATTCATTTTAGAAATGATTTTCAGTGCTTTGTTTATTAAATATTTATTGAGTACCTATAGCGTGATAGTGTTGGGGATATGTGAATGAATAATACATGTTATCTTGTCTTTAAAGAGTGAAGAATAGAATAGTAAAAAGATTATCTTACTGGTGATTCATGCAACAGTAGAAGTGTATGCAAAGTGCAGAAGTGACACTCACTAATCATACTTGTCACCTTGGATTGGAGTCAGGTTCCTAGGATTGAAACCCAGCTTCCCCCCATGGCCTAGATATTTAGCCTTAGGCAAGATACTCCTCATCTCCGAAGTGGAGATTTTTATTATACACCTCAGATTTGTTTAAAGAAAACTCTGTTTCCTTTACTACTGTTCCCACCACTTCATTTTTGACTCTTTGACAGGTGGGTGTTTTTCCTATACCAATTAATTCTCCAACTGACCCTTCAGTTCAGTGATAACACTACCTGGAGTTAGCGTGGACCTCACAGTTTAAGGGCTCAGTCCCACAGGACTGTCCCCCTCCTCCTTACTTCAGATACCAACTGCAGGTTCAGGTTGTCACCTGTGTTTCTGACCAACCAGCTGTAATATGGAGGTTCCCACAGCCCCCTCCTCAGGTTTGATGATTTGCTAGAACTCACAGAACTCAGGAAAACAGTTTGCTTAATAGATTACCAGTGTATTAGAAAAGGATACAACTCTGGAACAGCCAGCTAGCAGAGATGCATAGTGCAAGGTATTGGGGATATACAGTCTTGCCACCCTCTCAGTACCTCCACATGTTTACCAGCCCAGAAGTTCTCTGAACAGCTAAGTTAGGGGTTTTTTGGATGCTTCATTCTGTATGCATAATTGAAAAAAATCATTGACTGTTAGCGATTAACTCAGGCACCAGTCCGTTTCCCCTCCCTGCAGGCTGGTGGAGTGGGGCTGTAAGTTCCAGCCCTCAAATCAATGTGATAGATTCTCCTGGCATCCACCTGCCCTGTTCCCAGCTTAGGGGCTTTCTATTTTTTTTTTCAATTTTTAAATTTTTTTTTCCATTTATTTTTATTAGTTGGAGGCTAATTACTTTACAACATTGCAGTGGTTTTTGTCATACATTGATATGAATTAGCCATGGATTTACATGTATTCCCCATCCCGGTCCCCCCTCCCACCTCCCTCTCCACCCCATCCCTCTGGGTCTTCCCAGTGCACCAGGCCCGAGTACTTGTCTCATGCATTTAGGGGCTTTCTAAAAGTCACCTCATGAATATAAATTCAGCTGTAGTCGAAAGAAGCTCATTAGAAATAACAAAAAATGCTCATTTTACCTTTATTGCTCTGGAACTATTTCATGGTTCAAGACATATATATTTTTTCTTTTGGTGGCACCTTGCAGCATGTGGGATCTTAGTTTCCTGACCAGGGATCAAGCCCATGCCCCCTGCAGTGGAAGCGTAGGGTCTTAACCACTGGACCATCAGGGGATTCCCTGGAACTATTTCAGAAAATGGATAAAAACCAAGTATTATAACAAAAGATGTTTCTTTTACCTTTATTGTTGTGGAGCCAGGATGAAGACCAAAATATGTATTTCTTATTATATACAATATCATGGCTCTCATGATGATTAAATATGAATTCATCTCACACCCATTAGGACAGTGCTTATCACCTGGTATGTGCTCAATAAGTGTTAGCTATTATTATTAATATTAATTAATACTTGTCTTCTATCTAGTCTGTGTTCTTTTTGGACAGAAT